TCCTCTTTGGTTTTGTTGAACATTTTTTTAAATGCTTCTAATTAACTCTCACTGCAATCCATTACTGTGGAATTAGTAATTTTAGAGGAATCATGCTGCTCTGGTTTTTCATGTTGCTTGTGTTACTATTTTAGCATATCTGGCATTAGGTTGTTGGTTGGATTTTTGTGTCAAATCACCCATTTTCTTCCATTTGGAGTATCTGCAATGTTCAAATGAGACTAAACTGTAGTAATGTTGTGATATTTCTCCCCATTAACTGGAGCTATAATTCAGTAACTAAACCCACAGCCTTACTAAAGGTACTGGACTTGAGTACAGCTGTACTCCAAGACTAGAATACTAATTGCAGAAGCAATCATAGCTAATGGATATGGCCACTATGAAAACACAGTAGTAGCCAATTAAAAACAATCATTGCTTCAACTCCAATAATTTATGGAGAATAAAGGAACAAGGATAGTACATTATGTACTAAAGTATTAGCTACTATGAATAGAAATGGAAAGAAAATAAGCAGAGCATGACTAGTAATGATTACTAGAGCAACAGAAAGAAAATAGAATAGGGAAAAGTAATGATAAAGGAAGATAAGGCAGCTCTATTCGAAAGGTATAATGAAGAAGTGAAGAAATGCAATCAAATCATTTTACACAATTCCTGCACTGAAGCTGAGGCAAGAAGATCTCCAGTTCCACACCATCCTGTGTTCTTTGGAAAAGCTTACCAAAAACAAAGGAAAGAGAACAAGACAGGACAAAGCTGGTTTACTAAATTGAAATCAGATAATAAGGGAAGTATAAAGTGAAGGAAAGAGAACTAAGTGTGCAGCTGCAGGGTCTGTATGTGATCTCTCACCTACACATAGGTTGCCAGGCCTTCCTGCCTTCATGCAAACCCTCCCAGGTACATAAATGCTTTGCCTCTAAAGGTATTTGGCAGGCCAAGTACAGTACAGTGACACTTTCTCTGGGTTCCCAGAGGGAGCCATGCATGGAGGAGCCTTTGCCTGTATGTCAGCCTAGTTGCCTATTCAGCAGGGGTCTTTTTTAAATGGTTTCTTGTCACAGCAAGAGAGAAAATTTTCCCTCCTCTCCCCTTCTGTTACTGAAAGTACAATGAATTTTTCCAGTTCAGGGCCCTTTTCTCTGTCTTAAGCTGAAGTTTGATCCTCTGCAGTGGCACTCTTCAATAAGAGCAGAGCCTGCCTGAGTGGACTTTGAACACTGTCTCCTGTTCTGTTTTTTTCAAGGTTTTCTTTCTTTCTTTGTAACTGAAAATAGTGTTTTTCTGCTGTCATCTACCTCATAGGGTGGCTGCTTTCCAAACTGTCTGGATTATTCCCTGGTGATTCTACCAGTTTGTGCATGGATGTCATTTATCTGCCATCTTCAGGAGTCTTAGCTCCTGTTTTTGTTTTTGTTTTCGTTTTTTGCCCAACCTGACTCAGACCCTAATCCAAGAAGCTATTTGCCAATACCTTGAAAAATTCCTAGAGTAAGTATCTTCATGTCTAGTGGAATTTTCTTATTAATTTTTCCAAACCTAGAAAATGAAGTGTCCATATCATAAATACAAGTGAAATAATGAAAATTCTATTTTTCTGAGCAAAGGAAGTTATAATAGATACCAAGAAATATCATTAATAGAAGTTAAACTATATTAATTATAAAATGGTTAATATATGACTTTATCGTTAACTGTATTTTTTTATTTTATTATTTTTATTTTATGTGTATGAATGGATTGCCTGCATGTATGTAGGTGCACCTGTGTCCTGCAATGCCTCCAGAGGTCAGAAGAGGGCATCAGATCCCCTGAAACTGGAGTTAGGACCCCTGTTAGCTGCCATGTGGATGCTGGGAATTGAACCCACATCCTCTACAAGAACAGCCAGTGCTCCTAACCTCAGAGCCATTTCTCCAGCCCCATTAACGTATTTTAAAGCATGGTATTTGAAAGATACATACTTGGGGCAAAGATCTTCATAAGCCTCTGATATAAAGAAATAATAATAACTCCAACAATTCAAAACAGTGAAGCTGGAGCAAAGCCACAATTGGGGAGGAAAAGAAGGAAGTCTGCTTTTGAGGCTGCTATGTGGGGAAAGAAACACTAGAGGAAAAGATTTATTTCATGAAGAAATTGTTTTACATTGGTAATAATCCTGAAATTAGAACCGTCAGCCTTATAGAGAAGTGGGTAAAATAGCAAATTAATCACTACTGAAATGAATGCACTACTGAAAGCTTCATCATACATTAGCCAAGCCATGGTAAGACTACCAGGACTGATTGGCAGCACATTAGGGATGGCAGTATAATTTTTTTTTTTTTTCAGTCTTTGCCACTTGACTTGGCACTGCTTATTCAAGCATTTGGTTTTTGTCTTTTTGAGCCTGGCCTCCAACTCAGTCTTCCTGCTTCACCTCCCCAGTGCTGGTATTACAAGCTACACCCAACAGCATTACACATTTATAAAATTAACTAGGTTAGCCGGGCATGGTGGTGCACACCCTGTAGTCCCAGCACTTGGGAGGTAGAGGCAGGCGGATCTTTGTGAGTTCAAGGCCAGCCTGATCTACATAGTGAGTTCCAGGACAGCTGGAGCTACAGGGAGATCCTGTCTCAAAAAGACCAAAATAAATAACCATTGTTGGAATATAGAAAACTAAGTATTCTTTGAATTTCTAATAGCAGTATTGTTTTCTCTAATCATATATGCATTTATTTTACTATAAACATGTATTTTACATTCTTCCTAACAAAAGGCAGAGAATGACCCCAAATACACTGGACTGCTACCAGGTTATATTCACAGAATTTTAACATAATATGCTGAGCCAAAATTGTTGGCTTTACTATATTAATGAAGTTCACAAATAGAGATCCATAAGTTTGTGCACTACTTTCACAGGCAGCAGAGCCAGATGGCCTCATCTCAAACTAGCTGGCAATGATATCTAGGTCTACCTAAAGCTGGTGAGCACCATGCTTAATTTTTCTGCCTCAGTTTCCTCATTTGCAAAGGGACTAGTGCCTGCCTAAAGATTCAACAAATTTTGTACCCTTTACACACCTCTTGATAAGCCCAATTTAATTACCAGATCAGGAAGTTCCTCTGAAGACAGAATCTGCCATTTGGAAGTTGTTGCTATAGAGAAGGCAGAATCTGCCATTTGGAAGTTGTCACTGTAGAGATAACATTGGCAAGACTACAGATTATTAGGGGAGGCAGGAGTTCATTTCAGCACAGCTTGAGACAAGAACTCAAGAGGAGGCTGCAACAACAATGTAGCAAGAAATGAGGAAGACTAAAATGGTGATAATCAAGAGAAGCAGGAAATGGGCGATGCAACCTTGATTACAATGGGCTGTTGAAAGGATTCGCAAAGTCTTCCTGGGTTTCAGGCTGGGGTGGCAGTCTCATAAACAAGACATCTGTATAATCTGAGATATCCCCATGAGGAAGCTGTCCACTCAGGAATGAATTCAGCCTCATGGAGAGCAACAGGAATTGAGTGGATGGGAGCACAGATTAGATTGGCTTTTATCCTTTTTGAAGAGACCAGGTCTTCAGAATCTTCCATGGCAGACTAGAATCCAGTATCTAATGCAGTTCTGAGCATTAAAAGGAAATCAGAGTAAAGATTTCAACCTTGCACTTAATGGTGGTTTGTTGCAGGTGGCTAATGTTTCAAAGGTAGAACTATTTTCTCCTTGATTTTGATGGAAACATGAACTCAAATCCCTGGTGCCACATCTCCCGTAACAGCAGAATTGCCAATGCTAGGCCCTTCCTCTGGCTCCCAGGGACTTAATTTCCCCAGGGAGCTATTGTGCTTATTCAACTTGAAGACCTTACAGGAGGAATCAGTTATTTCTCTCTGGAGTCTTATGAGAACAACCAACATTGAAGTAAATAGTCACTAAAGAACAACAGAGAAAAATAAACAAGGTTTTAGAGAGCTATTGACATCTCATGTTAGAAAAGAAACACTGGCCAAATTTCCATACAAATTATAAATTACAATCTGAGGGTAATGACAATGACATACCATCACAGTTCCTACCCATAATCTACATAGGGATTTGTACACTATACTTGCTGTTCCCAACGTGGAGGTGTGATTCATTGTGTGCTGGCTGGCTAAAAACTAAAAATTAGAACTAGGCCCAGTTCTGCCAAGTCCTGATGCTATGATCTTGGATATCTTTTTTTGTGGAATGTAGGTCAATTTCTTATTTGACCTACTGTTCCAGTATTCTGTGATCAAAAGGATTTCATGGTACTCTGAAAAAACATTACAGCACTTGATAACAATCTTCCCATCATTCAGGAATAGCATCTGCTTAGAAGGCCCATCAGCTATGTTAACAAAAATCAGTATCTTCTTCCTAATGATAAAAACCATATAGCATACCGTTTTTAAACATCTAGCTCATGCTCTGTTCATCTGTAAAATTTTTTAAATGTTTCAAACCCAGTACATCAAGATGTTTTTGAAGTGCTGAAGATGAAGCCCGCAGTCTAAGTGCTGTACTTCTGAGCTACACCTTAGCCCAATTAATGTCCTTCAGTGTTATTTTTGCAGCTTGCTGTTTTTTGAGACTGTGTCTATAATGATCTTCCTACCTGAGCCTCCCAAGTACTAGGACTACAGGCATGTGCCACCTTGCCTGGCAGTCTCTTCACAAACAGAAAAACTGAGGCTCAGTGATGTAGTCAAGGTCTTGTGGCTGGTAAACCTGAAAATCTATGTTGTTTCAACAAACAAGTAGTTTCAAATCCAAATGTATATCCTGGAAAGAACTCCAGACGTGAGGAAAAAAAATGAACTATTAGCATCTTCCAGAAACCCAACCCAGTGAATCTGTATTCCTCCAATCTATTTCCTACATAGTTCACATACCTGATCATCTGCAAGGCAGCAAACCCACCAGTTCAAAACCTCCTAAGTCATGTCTTAAGCAAAGCAGATTTCAAAGGACACTTGAAAATGTATTGCAAAATGTACAGCATTTATTCACATACAGACAAAAAGGCACAAATTCTACTAAATAGTTCAACAAAAAATACAGCTGTCCTCAACTAGTTTTATAAATACTTTCAAAAAGAGGGTAGAAATAAATACAGGATTGGGCCATGTGATATAAAATAGTCATCTCTACATATACTTTAATTTCTGATTTTAACTCTTCATGCACCTTTTTTTTTTTCAATTTTAGCTGAATGGACACCAAGCTAGGCACATAGTGAAAAATCTCTGTACAAGGTTACAAATGTAATGACAAATTTGTCCATTTTTTTAAAATAATTAAGATTTTTACACAACACATAAAACCCTTCATTTAGATTTTGTGTTTATAACCTAACAAATGACATTCCAGGCAACTTTACAAAAGTTTAACTAGCCTACATTTTGACATAATACACTGATCATAATCAAAACTTCTTGGTCAGGATGCACAAGGAAAGATTAAAAAGAACAAACAAACAAAAAGCAAATGACTCCATACTAAAAGAATGCAGGTGGGTAGATAGGCTGCCACTGCTTATGGCTGCCTCATACAAAGTTCCCAGCATGACATGAAACTAACTTACAAAGCTATCATTACACTGTCAGAGAAACCGTGCTCTATACCATTTGCATTTCAAAGCAGGAATAAAAAGTGTGGGCTTTTTATTTTTTGTGTTTTGTTTTTGTGTGGGATTTTTTTATTATTTTTTTGTTTTCATTTTGTTTTGTTTTTTGGTTCAGCATAACTTGGAACATTTGAAAGCTTTTCAACCTAAATGTGGGGAAAAAATAGGTAAGGCATTATTTTTGCACAAAACTAGCATTCCTCATAGTGCAAATGAATCTGGTGCCTCTTAAAATGGTGAGAGGCCATATACTCACTAGATTAATTTAGGTTTTCTTTCTATGGCTTCACAAATTATCCCTCTATAAATTCTACTCTCACCCAGAGCTGTTGCTGTAATCAAAAGATAATTAAATAAGAGTCCAACCTTCTCCTGTATCTAGCAAAAGGTTTATGCTCAAATGCGAAACACTTAACTTTTAAATTAGGCTACGAGTGAAAGTACAACTTGGATTCTTAAGAACCTTCTAATATCTGTAGCAACAAGCTGACCTGGACAGTAGTTTCAAAAGGAGCCACATAGCTCAAAAATAGTCAATCTAAAACCTGGGTCATTCTTTCCCTCCCCTGAATTAGCTACTACAATGTACTGGAAAAGTTAAGACTTGGTTTGAAAACATCATACATACAATGGGATGCATCAGATCTATCATTTGATCATCTGATAAAACTTGCATAGCAAGATGGAATTCAGTAAGCCTTTTTCTGTTGTTGACAATCATCTGGAAGACTTGAAAGTTTCTACAGAACTCAAAGCATTGCTCATTAAGTATCAGAATATCCCTGCCACATGGAAACAGATGTATAAATCAGGAATCTGAACACTGATTTAACAAACTCTACGGGTAGTTTAGGGGAAATTGGGCTTATTCCAGATGCCCATAATTCTAAATCTCATTGCTATTTAAACTTTCCTTAAGGATGATTCACAACTACATTGAATTCCAAAGAAAATTAACAAGACTTAACACTATCCACTTGTCTGAATACATACTACATGAGTGTAAAAACAACATTGTACTCAAATTTAATGCTAAATTTATTATTGCTGATAACTTTCTAGTTATTGCCATTTGCAATTCGAAAGTCCAAGTTAACAAATTAGAGTTTAGAACTCTGACTCCAGAAAATCCATTCAAGGGCACACTCTGACTTCTTTCTTGTATAACCTTGGTCCATGTAAGAACTTAACTGTAACTTATTGCCTTTCTATTGTTTTGAAAATATAATTTTTTCTTCTCTCTCTCACTCTTTTTTTTTCCTTTTGCTTTAAGAAATCCGCTCGTGGTGAAAGCCTGGATTCCCCAACATATGCGCTAGTGGTTGGCTCTGGGAGGTACGAGTCACCAGAGTCTAGAAGTTCATCACTTGAACTTGAGTAGTCATTGTATTCTTGGAAGCCAAATGGCAGAGTACTGGCAGTGGCCATGGAAATCCCAAGCTGGCCCAAGGGTCAGCAATTAGGGAAATGGAAGGTCTAGAGTACTGGTTTAAATTGGACCTCAGCTGCCCCCTCACAGACAGAACTTTCTTAACAGCTTTCCTCTCCACCAGTCCTATGTTCACAACCCATACAGGGGCTTCATCTGTAGGACCTTGTTACACTGACCCTAAATCACCACTCTAGCAGCTCTGTCCCTCACTCTTCCAGTAATGACCATTTTGTAAATTATCTTCCCTGACTGCCGTATGTACAAGAATCCCTAGTGTTGCTGGAGCTTCAGAGCTGCTGCCATCTGCTGCTCATGCCATATAAAACCCATAGGCCAAAATGTGTCAGTCCTAGAAAATAAGCTTCATGGGCTATAAATGATACATGAGAGTTCTATAATTAGTATTGATACAGAATTATATCTGATTCTATATTCAGATATCCAAGAGTTTGTGCTTTGGGAAGAACGTAGAGGGCAATAAAAATTCACAATGCTTATTTAAGCCTGGCCCTTTTTTTCATGTTCAAGTTCTAATCTTAGCAGTGTCTTGTGGTTACAATCTATTCTGTTTCCTCAACAAGTTGCAAATAACACAAATTTCCACAACAATGATTTATATGACTTTGGAAAAAAATTCAAATCTGAATTGTAAGTAAATAGATGTTTTGTGTAGCTCAGAAGTAATGGGTTTCTGCTTGTGCCCGTAACAGAGCTCTCCTCCAGCACGGCCAGCAACAAACCACATGCTTCTGTGCCTTCTGTTTCATCAAGAGGCCAAGATGCTTCTCCTGATGATGTCTGTCCTCCTGCTGATAGTGCTATTGGCATGTATACATTTCTTCTCTGATGCTTCACTCTCTGAGTCACTCATTTCCACATCAGGGGCATACCCGTCATTCTCATTGTCAGATTTTAATTTGCTCTTTGCCCTATCCTTGGCTGGAACTCGGCCTAAACCCAGATAGGGGTAGTCTGAGTGCTGGTGGCAGGCCCCTTCGTGGACCTCTCCTTGCTGCTGCCGTTCCCCTTTCTTTGGAATCCGGAATCCTCCCCAGTTTTTCACAGGGCTGGCAGGTGTGGTAGGCACTTTGACTGCAGTCTGATTGTAGCTTACTTTGACTAGGGAACCATTGCACTTGGGCACAATCTCCTTTCTAGTGCCAGGTGCTGACTGCCCCACTCCAAAAGAGATGGCAGCTCTTGGGTTGTCCAGATGCCTCTGGGATGTGTCTGTGGACCTGAGAGGCTTGTGACTCTGTTTAAAAGATTTGTCCTTTAAGTCTCCTTTAATGAGCTCACAATGAAAACGATTGTCTCTTCTTTTCCCGTGGTCTGGCATCACCACGCCATTTTTCTGTTGTGCTGATGGTATGAGACGTGCATCTGCAAAAGTCTTTTCAAAACTGAGAAAACTTTCTGGAACTACCAGCCCTTCCCTTCCACCACACAGATCTGGCTGCTTTAGTGGAGGCCTGCCCTCACTGCCAGGGCTACTCTGCAATGGATCTCGCTTATGGGATTTTTTCAGTGAATGAACCAAGGAAGTACCCATTTGTTTCCTGAAGAATGCAGAATGCCACTTCAAGTCCTCTATCTTGGGAGCATTGGGGCCCACGGAAGGACTGTTGAATAAAAGCATGTTCTCCAGAGAGGAGGAGGAGCAGGAAGAAGAAGGCACACCTATGAACATAAAACCACAAGGGAAAATTAGAGCAAATCCAAAATAAAATTCTAGACTTGCCTGAAGCATCGCTACACAAGCGTCATTACACCCCTTTATAAAATTTTGTTTTTAAAACAAGAATCTAAATCTGCATATTCAGTAGACTACATTTTTCCCAAAACCACCGAAATATAAATTAGCATGAAACTATCTGTTGAAGGACAAAATTCAAACAAAATAATTCATCTGATTTTTAAAAGGGAATCCATGCAGAATCCATCTAATGGCTGCCACTTAAAGTCCTCTAGCTGGTTACAGAACAGATTTCCCCATATACCACAGTTGCCATCCATCATTTTCTTCCCTGAGACTGATTGGAGATTCTAAGCATCTTTTTCTAAAGTATCTATGCCCTCTCAGGGCCATTGAGGATAAATGCACATAAATATGTACTGTTTACAGTAATTCTGGACAGGTAGCATTTGAGAAATATTCATATGAAAAAATATGTATGGGATATAACTTGTCACCCCAGTTGAAGATAAATTGATCCTTTTAAAAATTTTTTTATTTTATTATTATTTTATGTGTATGAATGTATGGCCTGCCCATGTATGTAAGTGCACCCATGTCATGCAGTGCCCACAAAGGTCGGAAGAGGGTGCCGGATCCCCCTAGAACTGGAGTTACCAATGGTTGTTAGCCACCATGTGGGTACTGGGAATCAAACCCAGGTCCTCTGTAACAGCAGCGAATGCTTTTAACCCCTGAGCCATCTGTCCAGCCCCCAAATTGGTCTTTTTAAAATGTAAATCACAAAACTAAATTTCACAGCATAACCTAGTAAAAACTTAATTTTCATGAAACTCATCACCTGCCAAGAACACTGAAACTTCTTCACACTTGTTTTATATGTTAGTCAGGAACCACCAAATTTATTTCATACCCACAAATGAACTGAACCAAGTCTGAATTACTAGAAGTTGCATCAAATATACCACGTTTCCTCAAGAGTCTCAAGACTATCTACAAAAAGCAGTTCCCATGCTTCTATTTCATAAAGGTATAAACCACCAAGAAAACTATGAAACAAGAGCCCGTATAAGGCCTTACTGCCCATCAGACATGGATATGTAAGCACCACAGAAGAGGCCCTTCCACAGACTAATTAATGGCTTAGAAATGCCTGTTTTCTCAAGCACCAATCACTAGAGTTAATCTTCATGTCACACTTAAAGATGAGTTTTGTTTACTGAAATTACCTATCATAGGAAAATAAATATAATTAGGGCCCAATATTGCCTGAACTATGATTTCCATTTACTTGACTTGGAGCCCATGCCTCTGAAATGTTATTCTTGGGGATCACCCCAACTCATTCTCAGAATCACAAGAGTTTGAACTGTGAACTCTATGGTAATCTCCCATGGAACTCTCTCATAAAACAGGAGAGTTAAGTCTACAATTGAAAAAGGAAGGGGGAAAAAAAATCCATCCTAGAAAGTTTCAGCTACCATCCTACAAAAAAAAGTAAAAGTTTCAGCTGCTTATACAGACTGTCACTCAGAGTGAGGGGAAGATTTATTTCTCTTTTCTGGAACAGCAGTAAAACTTACCACTTTGTAACCTGGCATGGCCTAGAATTCATTATGTAGCCTAGGCTGGCCTTAACTTTTGGTAATCCTTCTGCCTCAGTCCCTAAGAGCGCTAGGATTACTGGCATGAACCACCATACTGAGCAGTAGTAGGATGTCTGAACACAGAATTACATTGAAACCCAAATACTTCCTAATCTTATGGAGAACCTCCTTCACTCATCCAAATAAAAACCTCGGCCATGAAATGCAAGCAGCTGCCTGTAACGTCCATCAGAAATGACTCAAGAAGCCATATGAAAATTTTCCTTTATGGGTAATCATTGATTCCATAACAAGTCCCAAAAGCCTCAAATGGCAAAACTCCAGTCACACTGCATTAACAATCCCAGACAGGACCAGCTCCAGAAAGAATCAGAGACAGAAGTTGACTTTAAAGAATGTACGTATACTCAACTGTTTTTACCTGTGACTCTCTACCTGAAATATTTATTTTCAGAGTTCTACACCTGAACTCCCAAATTCCAGATAATGAAATACACCTAATACATCTGGAAAATGTTTAATCTTCACAAGAAAATATCTAAAATAGTTTCACTAAATTAATACCAGTAAAAGTATATAACAATGGAAGACTATTGAAAATTGCCCTCAGTATTTTTTGTTCCCTCTTGTCACGTGTATCTAGTTATAAGCCAGTTTGAAATTCAGTATAACAGGTTCTAACAGCATCTGTGTTGTATGTATGTCATAATTATCCAGAGACAAAAAAGCCACAAATTCAGAAAAGGGAGAGTAAATCAACCATAACACTCCACATAATAAGTACCAAGAGTGTTGACACTGTAACTTTAAAGACCAATCCAAGGTAAAGACACTCACCCTCTTCCATTAAAGACCAGCCCAAGACCCTGACAGGTCCCTGAGTTTCCACCTCATACAAACTCACATGAACTATCTGCTTTCTGGGGCTTGTGATGACACAACACGTGATTCTACATTAGACCTCTTACTGACCAAAGGAAATCCGAGAGGTGAAGCACTTGCCCAACACTACACTTGATTTCAAAGTAGCATACTCTAAAGGAAATGTGTACCCTAGACTTCTTTTTCCTGTTTGGCTAGCCAGAGCAATGTAAATAGAAGACACTAAATAAATAAATGCTCAGTACTCTCATAAATATTCAGAATTCCATCTACACCCCCACACACACCAAGCCACTGTCAGTGTTATAAAATGAACATGTGTGGTAGGCCTTAAGATACACAATGTTTACAACATTAAGTAGCTCCGAAGACTAGACAATGCATAAATCTGTGTAGTGGCCCCTGTTTATCAAGAGCACTACATTATGTCATCACTTTCACTTGAATCTCGTGGCAATTACAAGAGGTATGAGAAAACTGGAGAAACAAGATTTAAGATTTATATTTATGTATATTTATATTTATGTTCATCAGTAGGAAGAAGCTCAAGGACTCAAACCCTATTTGAGGCCAAATTCAGCTTTTCCTCATAACATATAACAGCTTTTCCTCTAATGCTTAAAATTTTCTTTAAATATGAACATCTGTGCTACTTAAATTTTTCTATAGGACAGATAAAAGAGCACCTTCTCCCCTCCATTCCCCTGACCCTTAACTACAGGATTACAGGATTAAAAACCCCTACCTACATTTTGACCTACCAGGGCTTAATGCATACCTGAAACTCTTTCTTGCTCCAAGAGCTTAGTGTAAAGACTGAAAATCTGTTCCTGGACTTTGCACACAGATCGCTTAATCTTTTCTCTGCGGGTCACCATGTAAGTGAGGTTCCGAACCTAGAAAATAGAAAAGATTTCTAAGCAAGCAATATGGTAACAGTATTTCAATCCTTTCTATTTTTCTTTACCTGAAACAGAAGTTCTACTAAGGTCTTGACACACATTTGAAATAAAAACCATTCTTTAAGTATTTTACCCTGTATCTCTAGGACTATTTATTCCCCCTTGGTGCCTGTGGCAGCCATGGGAGTGCAACACTGGAGGAGAACACAGGCAGAGAACCCTATTCTTCTATACCAGCCTGCCCTGTGGAGGTAGACCTCCACTGTCCACTCAGGACTTGCTGCCTCATGCCAGAGGGCTCTGCTTACCAACAGTATCTTCTTCCCAACAATCTTATTGTCAGTGGTTTCAAAGCAGTTCAGAAGCAACCTTGCTCTACTTGTATCAGGTATCTTCTGAGGGTTGACCTTTATAAGCAAGGGACCATGGGCATCAGGGAAGACACCTGCATGATCAAATAAGCTATTTGGTTGATGGACTCTGCAAAGACTGACTAGAGGTTGGCAAGTATGCAAGTGCCTTTCCTGCTTTGCCAGTGATTTGTTGGCTCAACATCCCCAGTCAACCTACAGATCATTATTTTAAAACTGCTACTAACCTCTTCCTGGTTCCATTGAAACTGGAAAGATAAAGAACTGAGATCTCCACTTTACATCTGATGTGAGAGCCTGCTTCAGATCATGTACATATCTACTACTCCAGTGCTCGGTAGCTAGTATTTCTGTGATCAACATTACCTGCTTTTAAAGTCACCTGTTGTCACTAAAAAGCTAGTCCCTAAACCTAGCTGATCCCTCATTCCTAAAACGTACTGGTAATCCTCACTCAGTTACATGGGCCTGAAGACAGAAATGAGAAGTGTAGCCAACTGCTTAACAGTTAAACCTTTCTTCAGGGGCATGTATATAATACCTCAGCAACCTCAGTGGCACAAGTAGAAAATGACCGCATACTCCGCACCAGCTATCATTAGTGGCATGCCCACACTCCTGAAAACTACATCCTCAAGAACAGTCCCTTCCTTTTCTTACTTTAAATGGAAGTTCAAAGGTCACCAGCCTCTTCTTTGGCATGAGCCATGCAGTTCTGCACTCTGGCTTAAGCAGATACCTCCCCTCAGTCTTCAGACCTTTCTCCACCCTCTCAATCCCTGCAATGTTCAAAGCAGTCTGGTTTGCATGAGGTCATGAGATATGGAAGAAAACAGCACACATCAGCTGGCTTTTACATTTATGTCATACTCATCTGTTCTACAAAACACTGCTAGGCTTTGCCTGACCCTAACTGATCCACTGTCAGGGTCTTCCTGTCTATTTCTACGTGAATCCCTTATATTATCTTAAAAAATGTTTTTGATTAAAGAAATGAAAAGGAAATTTCCTTGTCTGAGTATCTAATGATGTTATTGTACCCATCTAATTCCTTCTGACAGTCACACAAGCAAGGAAGTGGGTATCTTTCACAGAAATTTTAACCAATGTGGGGATGAAGGTGGCTAACAGACTATTTTCTTTGATAAGTATTATTCCACCCAGGTGAGTAGAGGTGGAAGCCAAAAAAGTGGGGTCATACCTAAATCATCATCACAGATTCAAAACTTTAGACAACACAAGCCAGCTTTTACACTAAGATGAAGATTCTGACTTCTGGAAACAGGAAATGGACATCCTAGGAGTACTGAGTTTGTGTTCATATTCAACTTGGATAACAAACACATCACTTAATCCATGAAAATAGGGATGCCAAGGAACCTCAACTGTTAGCTTCAGTATTTCACCCAGGAAAAGCTTTATACTAGGACTGCTAAATGGGAGAAACCCTTTATTTCCCATGACTTTTAGATGAGTAATATCTAAATAAATCCATAAAGCAAAAAGGTTATGATTTTCAGTTGTGACCAATAAGGCTTGCTTAGTACAGCTCTGACTGACCAGTGTAGAGCTAAATACCTCAAACAGACAAAAAGCAGTCCTCAAAGGCAGGGAGCTCTCTCTGTCTAGAGAGCTTAACTGACACCACTCAGCCAGCCTGCCTTCTCCTTTTCTCAGCTGTCAGCACCAGGTATCCAGGCCATACCTCCCCTTAAAGTGGTTCCAAAAAAGAGTTCTGACCTCCACTTCTAACTCATTTGCCCTTCTATTAAATTTTCAGAAATGTTACTATTGTCAGGGACTATACTCAGAACCACTGTCCTAAAGAAGTCAGGAATAGTTTCTATGGGTTTTTTGAATCCTAAGCACTGCTTGCAACACTAAAGCTTAACGTGTTTTGTTCAGGGAACAACTGTAGTAGCCTCAATTGCGTTTTCAAAAGACCATTCCACTGAGTGACAAATGAGTAGGACTGTCTCCACACTAATAGGGTGCCAAGGGAGGATGTCTTTATTCAAGCACGTACTCATTTTCTGTGCTGTGTATTGCACCTTTCTCAGAAGACATTACATAGAGGATACCCACAAGAGTGAAGTGACGGCCCTGGGAACTTGAAGTGCCACCTGCCATATCACCAACTGTCTCTTTTAGAGCCTTCTGATATCCATTCATGTCATCTAACTTTCTGATGCAGAACTGGTACCCAGGTGTACAATGCCCCTGAAGTGTTTATTTGCCAGGAAGAGCAATTACCATAATCACCGAGTCATCTGCATTTCTAATGAATACTACTCACTTGTCAGTTCAGGAATGACCACAAGCATTGATTCCACTCACATGTATTAACTGGTTCTTGAGTGCCTGCTGGGTACTGATTGATGTTAAATGAAATGGCAGAACACTATTGAGAAAATAAGTTAGGCCCTTGCTTGGCCTGACACACTTTATAATTGCAAAATACTATACAACCCTCTGGGGCCTAGCCAAGATTTCAATATTTGTAAGGCTCTAGCATCACAGCCCTCATGGCAAATTTGAGGAAAACATTTTCATCATAAGCACATTTTAAACTGCCACTGAATGCACTATAATCTCTTATAATAAAGGTAATTCCACCCCCATACATACACCTTTCTTATGCATCGTAGGTATTACTCTACTTAAAAAGCAAAATGACGACTCCAAAAAAAATGTTCAGAATTTAATTATAAGTATGTTAATTTCAGTAACTTAAGTACAGAAAAGAGTTAGTACACCACAAGCATTTTCTACACTTTTATTTTGTGGTGATTGTGAAACACACACAGTCAAAACATGAGACTTCTCACCCTTCCCTTCCAAGGACTATCTGACTCCATGCGCCCCAATTACACAGTTGTTGGGTTAGGATGATAGCCTCTCACCAGAATCCCTTATCAGTAACATGCCACACATCCATGTGGTTCCTTACACTCAACACTGGGGGGCATATGGGAGCCTCACCAACCTGCTCCTGTCCCCCCTTAGCCCAAAAGCATCCACCTTGCCCAGAATGTATAATCTAATGTGATCTAAAGAAGGGATATCACAAAAAGTCAGCATTAGCTGATGTACTAAAAGGGCCTCTAATGAGCACTTGATACTTTCACTATCCCATCTCCATCAAGGTGGTAGAAGCCTCTTTGTGACAACTGGTTCTTTAGGTTAAGGCAAGCTATCCTGCCCTGCCTACACTCTCACTTCAAATCCTCTCTATGAGTCAGATTCTCTCTGAGCAGATGAATCATTCCTCTCTAATAAGTGAGGAGCTTGGGGGAGATAAGCATTAACTGTTTGAGCCACTTGGGTGCCACAGGCTGCTTCAGGCCAGAAAACCTCCATCCCATCTTTGCCACACTAATGAATTTAATCGGTAGCTAGCAGTCAGGGGAGTTGGTGCAGAAGGTGCTGAAGACAGATCCCCAATTAGTAAGCCTCAGACCAAAACTACCTAAGGGAGCCAGAGACCCTGGGGAGAATAGTCCACTCTTAATTATTCCTACAGCAGGAAGAGGGAGACTCCAGAGGTCATGGAGAATGGGGGAGGCACCAAGCAGTAAACAGCTGAGGGAACGCCAGCAGCTGAGGCTCCAAGGCAGTCAAAAGCAAACCAGTAGTGTATCATAAATGTCTGTAGTGTGCTAAGCATTGCTAGGGACCCCACAGACCTGATGCCCCTAGTACACCAGAAATCACACCCACACTCACAGATAGAACCCAGACAGGGACACACAAGCACATGCACGTGCGCACGCACACACACAGTATGTACATAACTTCAGTGATGACTTAGCACCTCAATGCCAGGAGTGTCTTCTGTAACACATGTGTGTGTGAGTCCACGTATACAAATCGGCACCCAAGCCTACTCTGCTCCACAACAGAGCTAGGAATCCCCTAAGAATTAGCCTAGAAGCAAAGTGGGGTAATGAGAGGCAGTGCTTAGCTCTCCTTAATGAGCCCTTCATCAGCACCTAGGAAGAGTTTCCCCAAGTTGAACAAGAGATTTCCCTACTACTGCCCCTTCCCCACAAATTGAATACATTCCAGTTTTCAAAATCAGGCTGTAAACAATGCTGAGTCAAGCCCTTGGTCATATTCCTGGTGCTCAGTTCCCTCCAGTTCTACAGTGAAGGGGGAGAGGAGTGGGAGGCACACCCCATCTGATCTTGCGGAACAGTAAAGATTAATGGGAAAGCGTTTAAGAAAAATAATCACAAAGAAGCTCCCACTCTGGCAGTCTTGCAGATTGCAGTGAGTTTACCAGCCCATAAACATTATCAACCAACACGACCTCATGCTGTGGTGTGTACAAGGGTGTAAGAGTAATGACTGGCTATCATTTCTTGCTCTGGCGAGCGCTCGCCTCTTTGCATCTTCTTCTCTAAGTCACTATAAGGTGTCAGTGTCAATCATTACCCTCTCCAGGTCCTGCCGCAGGTGCGTGAACAGCTGCAGCCTCCTAAACAAGACATCCTGCTCCCGCTTGGCTAGATTGTCCTCTTCATCTTTCTTTGGGGTAATCAGGGGTTTGTTGAAATTGACCTTCCTCTTCAACTTCCAGTACTGGTACAGGAAATCCACTACTTCCTCAGGCAGTCGCAAGGCCCTGGCCACATCCAACAAGTTGACGAAGGTGTAGAACTCATCTTCCAGCTGCTGCAACTTCTGCTTGCGGACACTCACCCGATGGGCCTCTTCTTGATTCTGCTCAATGCTGGCAAAGGGCTCCAGAGGGTTCCGGGGGGAACACTCGGGGGCCCCATTCTCCTGTGTGGCCCCATCACCAAGGCCCTCCTCAGGTTTCCGATGCGAACTGTGCTTTGGGCAGTAGGACTTGAACTTGACTTCATCATTCTCTGCCAAGATGGTCTTCATCTCCAGGCCCTGGTCAAAAGCACAGGTGACATGGAAGGCTGTACGGCAGTTCTTCACAGAACACTGGAAAGAACACAAAGGAGAGTATACACAGTTATGGAACAACAGCAATAGAAGCTCCCAGTGCTGGCCACCTCCACAAATGACAATAAAGGACCTTTTGCACATGTGCTGTGACAGAAAATCTTAACAAGGATTAACCCTGGCAGATCCAGACAGGTTTGAAGAGAAGGCTGGGGATGCCAGGGTAAAGCTTTCATAACCCAAGCTGTAGCCTTCTTAGAATAGCAGCTGCGCTGAAATCTTTTTTTTTCAATGTGTCTTGAGTGTCTACCTGCAAGTTTGTATGTGCACAGTGTGCATGCCTGATGCCTGGAGGACAGAAGAATGGTGTCAGATCCTGTGGAACTGAAGTTATGGATGGTTGTGAGCTGCCATGTGGATACTAGCAAGAAACCTTGGTCCTCTGTAAGAGCAGCAAGTGTTCTTAACCACTGAGCCACCTTTCAGCCCTATTAAAATCTTCTCTTGGATGTTCTTGCAAAGGACCCAGATTCGTGTCCCAGCACCCACATGGCGGCTGACAACCATAACTCCGGTTCCAGGGGATCCGACACACGCGCTTCTGACCTCCAAGGGCATTGCAAGATACAGGTGCACTTACACACATGCGAGCAAGACACTCATAAAATAAAAATAATAATAATAAAAAAAACCTCTTAACAGGAGCACAAATATACAAATGACTTGTAGGTAAAAGTACAACAACCCTCAAAAGCTCATGTTCAAAAGAACATGTGCTTATATGCAGAGTATACTGAGGCATTAATCTTGTTATTCTCATATAGATTTGAACTTAGCTTTATGAAAACTGTGAACAAGAATCCTCAGGACAAGTGATTCCTGGTCAGTTTTAAAATGACTGAATCCTCAGTACAACCTCCAGCTGGGAAAGGTCCCAACTCAAGTGGGCAAGTAGAACCACACTTCCTCAAAGCAGCACCCAAGGAGCACCAGAGGAAGGTAGGAAGAGAGACAAGACAACTCTAGCTCAGGAACGATGGAGAAAGGTCTTCCTGATGTGTCGAATCTCCATAATGCAGAGGCTCCTGTGAAACCCCAACCATTATGACCTATGCAACTGAAGGGTGGTGGTGGAACCTACAGGGATTGCTTCCTGTGGGCCACAGGGAGGTCAGCCCAGAGGCTGGGTCTCACCAAGCTACACTAAACACACTGCCTCCTCACTGCTTGCACAGGGCTACAATTTAAGGCCTTTGATCTAGACACAAGCCTCTGGCCAACAGGAACAAAGTGATTAACTTCTCCCTTCTGATCTCACTGTGCAAACCCCTAAAAGGAGTTCCTTTCGGAGGCTAAAGCCAGCCCCTTAAAAGCAAATGCAATATGTGAGGCCAAGGGATCCTTAGGGCATGCCAGGGCTGCACAGAGCAAGGATCTTGTGTGCCAGGCCAGCTGAAAAGCTTAATTAAACTCATTCAGCAGACCCTGCATCACATAACACAGAGGACAGAGGCTGGAACTGAGTTTTTCCCTCATCATTTCAGCATAAGGCATGACTCAGTGCCAACCACAATTTCATCCTTTACTATAAAAACCCAGCCCTATTACTATCTCCCATCCCAGTTACCTAAAGTACATGAACTAAAATCAATCTGTAACTTTATAAATAATCTCAATTCCAAGAAATATGTGAAATCACCTCTGGTGACAACACATACCATACCTGGCCACTATCACTAAAAGACAGTGCTCCTCGCCAAAAAGGAGCACAAAGCCAAATGGGAAGTTAAAATGGGAACAGATGACTGAAACACAATCTGTGTTTGGCTTAAACTACACTTAACCCAGGCGTTCTAACCTTAAAGAGAAATGAGCTGCAGCAGAATATTCATACAGACTTTGAAAAGATGCCAAATGGCCTTCCTCTGGGTTTTCCTATTCAGGTTGACTCAGCAAACAGATGTTACAGAAACATAAACCAGAGCCTTCCCAGCTGCAGACATTTCAGAGAGGACTTCATTTAATTTAAAAAAAAAGAAAAAAAATCAATCCATTCTATGAAGATATTGGGGGGGGCGGTTTGCAGGGATCAGCCTTCTTTGGCCCATCTCCTTCAAATTAATGTTCTGGGGAAAAGAGGTTAATGGCAACAAAAAAGTCATTATGTTGTCTCTCCGTGAAAGACAAACAACACCCCCACATTTGCCACCTGTTAAACTCCAATTAAAGAACAGGGTTAGTGCCGGGCATGGCAGCACACACCTTTGGTCTCAGCACTCAGGAGGCAGAGGCAGGTGGATCTCTGTCAGTTCAAGGCAGCCTGGTCTACATAGCGAGTTCCAGGCTAGCTGGGGCTACAGGGAAACCCTGTCACAAAAAGACAAAAAAAAAAAAAAAAAAAAAAAAAAAAAGAATAGGATTGTTATGTTCAGAAAGGGCATTGTTCTGTGCACAGAAGAACAGCTAACATGGAACACCACTGACTGCCATTTTCCCTGGTCTGCCACAGTCTGTTTCCCAAATAAACTAAACATGTACATGTTCACCTGCACACTCAAATCCTTTCTGATTTCTCTTTCATTCTTGCCCAGTCATAATCTCAGGCCAGAGGCATTTATCATTTTAGTTTCCAACAGATTCTATTGACATACAAAGAATCACTTCTTTATAGTCCCTGAGCCAAATTCTCTCAGCTGTCTCATGCCCCACCCTCCTAATATTTCTGTTAACATTTTAAAACCTTGAACACCAGTAAAAGCAGTAACAGTGAAAAGTAAAACCACTTTGGACTTGTTGAGAAAATGAAAAGAATTTAAAAGCACCACTCAGTGGTTCTGATACCTTACTGAAAGAATCACTTAACAGCCAAAATATAACTTAGCTCTGCCAAATGAGGTTAAAACTTAGGACCACACTTTGTGGAGTTTACATCTATGCCAAGCTGTATCTCTACATGGATACAGAAATTGCCCAATGTTTCTACTCCCAGATTTCAACAAAGAAACTAAAAATCTGGGGTCTGTGCTAGATTCATACCAAAGGTAGAATCGGATTTCACCTTTAAAACATCAGCCATACCAGGCCTTTCAAATCATGACTAGGTATCAATGTGAGACTCAGAAACCAACTACTCAGAGTTTTAGACAACCTGAAAAAAACAGCACATGGTCAACACTCCTTAATTCTACCTACCTCATGACTTCCTGCATTTATCTGTATCTGACCATGCAAATGCAAGCAACATTTTACATGCAGGTTAGCTCTCTCAATAAACCAGACCGTTTTCAGATCATGTAACTTATGCAAAGAGCACACAAAGTAGGAACTTCTGCATGCCAATCTATCCATCCAGTGTTACAGCAATCTTACTTCTCCCCGTGTGAAAGCATCCACCTGCCCAACACCTCAGCTACCAGCATTCTGAAGATTTGCATGGTATACTGTAACTACAACTGGGAAGGTGGGCAGCTTTCAAGTGCACAGCCAAGAAATGTCTACAACTCAGACTCTGCAGGAAAGTCTGGCCTGTGAAAAAGAGCTGGTACTACTAGACTTAAGGCAGACAAACTGGAACTGCCTCTAGGCCCAGGCAGACTTCTAGATAACCTACCCTCTCCCAACACACTGATGATGCACAAAGCGCCTCCACAATGAAGCCATTCTTACTGAGCTGTTACCTGTATGGAGGCTCCAAACTTCTCATTGCAGAGGCTACACACAAGCGCCCATCGACTGCTAGGGATGTGAGACACCTTTGTGATGGGCTCCATCTTTTCAGGACTGCCAATGCTCACCTAGAGACCCAAAATAGCAAGAAGAGAACCACAGGTCATCAGAGGTGGAACACAGACATCAGAGTGTAAAGGTCTGTTGTTTCTCTGCCTGAGGACAGCCCCAGGGCTCAGCTCTGAACTAGGTGCAGTAGAGCCGAGAGCCCAATCCTCATCTGACACCAACATCCCAATCCATACAAACTCATCTTGGAGTTTCCACCTTTCTCAAATATCAAATCTCTGAACTGACAAAAATTTTGTTAAGACTAGAAACCTGTCTTAAATCCTTAAATAATGGAGTTAAATAAACTATACTGAATCCCTGTTTCTCATTAAAGAAAACTATTTTACTCCATCAGAACATGTGACTACATTCAAAATAGTATTTATCTACTGAGATAAATAAGGTATTGTGTTTAGCCTGAATCACCAAACTGCATCTTGTTAACAGCAAACTATAAGGTTCAGTGCTATCAAGACCTGAATCGTGAAAACTCAAATGCAAATCATCCCTAGGCAATTTTCTTCAGGAAAAAAAAAAAAAATGCACCAAATCACATACCAAAAATGCTGGGATTTGAATCACAAATGATATTCTCATCATAAGCTATGCAAATTAAATTAATCAAAGTCTGGGACTGGAAATGAATTAGATCAGATCTGAAATTAACAAGGTTGAGACTAAGAATTTAAATACAACTCCCAGAAGTGTGATCTGGTGCACAGTGGTGTTGCATACGTGGTTTGCCAAACACAAAGATTGATGAGGATAGTGGCATAGCAGCAGGCCCTAGCTGTGAAGGCACCAGGCCCTATGAGCGGTGTCAACCACATAAGGGTTCCCAGCAATGAACAGGTAGAATGACTTGTAGACACACCAACCTGTCTAGGTCACTGCTATTTTCAGGTAACACTTCCAACAAATCTACACGCCTATGTCAGGATGATGGGAGCAGCTTTGGGAGCAGAAAAGATAGCAATTCAAGGTGTCTGAGAGCCAGCAGCTCCACTGCTGCCTGACATTTATGCATGACTCCACACCCACCTGTCCAATCCCAGTTGAAAACGAGGACCTTCTCAACTAAGTGCTGTTAAAAGCCACACTTACCTCAGGGATCCAAAGGGCACAGCTGACATGGACCCACTTGGTTCCACTGCGGGTGGGTTTCATGGCTCCACCTTTCTTGGGACACAGCAAGCATTTTGGCTGAACTCCCAGGGCACATGTCCGGCATAGCCAACTGCCCTCTGGCACCTTGAGGATTCCATAGCAAGCCTATAAGGCCACAGCACATCCCCAAAGGAAAAAAAAAAAGAAAAGATTTATTTTTCCTATTTTATATATTATTAATTTAAAACCACATAGATTTCTGCAGAACTACCACTGACACAGACACGCCCACAACCCACCCTTGAGAAAAAAAGGCCACCTCCAAGCACTCACGTGACTGAGCTCCAAAGACAAACTGAATGTTTATTAGGTGGGCCTGCAAACTGCTTGAGGAAAGAAGATTCTAAAATAACCAGTGCTGCTGTGGTGCAGCAAAGGCCTATTCATACAAAGTTTCCAACCACTGAGCAACAAATGCTACAACCTCTCTGCAAAGTCAGAGCATGGCACACTAGTCTGCTCACCTTTCAACAGGGTGGGATACAGAGCAAGGGAGAAAACAAACCAGTGAGAATCTCACAGAACTATTAAAGACGACGGCAGTAGGCAGGAAAACAATCTGAGGGCCCTCCACTGCCCAGGCTGGACACATTCACCCAACTGGATCCCAGCACCATCAACATGAGCAAATAACCACAGGAAAATTAGGCTCTCCAGACAAGGAGAGTGTGATCTCTAGCTGATGTGTAATACAAAGCCTGTTTTGCAAAAGATGGCAAAATTACACAAGACAGCACAAACGGCAGAAATCAAGGCTTTTACAAACTAAACTCATTAAGATGGTTTGAAGAAAGAAAAAGGCAAATGTTTCAATAAGCAAAGAAGAAACAAAACCACAACAGTACCAGAAGCACATTCACAGAGTACTTTAAAATCAAAAATATTCACAACTTTATCCTTACATGAACTGGAAGTCAGGAAGTTGAGAGTCACAGGAACATAGCTCTTATTCTCCAGACATTAAAAAAAAAAAAAACAGCCGCTGTGCAATCTGAATGCCCAGGACACAGAAAGGAAACCACAATGAGAGTTGAGCATAGCAAAGGAACACTGAGATTGGAGCCCTAGGAGTACTACAGCAGTGCCATGAATAAGCTACTGTCGACGAGACTTACTGGAGAAAAATTCTTGGTAACAGGCCTAAATGGCACTATTAAGGTTTCAAATACTGTCTACAACATTAAGCATTCTAAAGCTGCCTTTGAATACAGAATTTCATTTACTGGGAAAGCATATCTTAACTATGCTCTAAAGACAACCCATGGGACTGGAGAGATGGCTCAGTGGTTAAGAACACTGGTTGTTCTTGCAGAAGACCTGGGTTCGAATCCCAGCACCCACATGGCAGCTAACAACTGTGCGTAACTCTAGTCCCAGGGGATCCGACAGCCTCTTCTGTCCTCTGCGGGCATTGCACAACACAGGTGCACTTACTTACATGCAGGCAATA